TGTTGTCTAGTCTGCGGCTCTTCCTCCTGTCTCCCAAGGTCATTCCCACAGACCATTACAGTTGGGGACATTTGGAACTCTTTTATTGTCCTCAGAGGCTTTACTTGTGTTTAGATGTTATTTGTAAATGGTATGTGCAAGCAATGCCATATACTGCATACCCCAGCAACTTAAGAATCAGTGGTGTCTTCTTTCTCAATATCTTTCCCCCCTCTTAATTAGAATTCCCCAACGTGACAATAAAGTTAGAAGACAAAGAAGAGGTCTCATGGCTTCCAAATAACCAGGTGGCAGAAGGAAGTCGGAGCTTCTCAGTTGACCATTCAGGTACAGAAAGAGTATTCTGGATTTGTGCCCAGTGCTTTTTAAGGTCCACATGATGGAGCTAGACAAATTAAGGAACTAAATTCCTTAAATGAGGTGTAGAGGAACATAACAATTAGAGCAGTGTTTCTCAACCTCAGCAGCTTTAAGATGTGTGGACTTCACCTCCCAGAATCCCCCAGCCAGCCATGCTAGCTGGAGGATTCTGGGAGTTGAAGTCCACACATCTTAAAGTTGCTGAGGTTGAGAAACACTGGATTAGAGGGTTGAGCTGTGAGTCAGGCTGTGTGTAACTTATATTTACTACCTTACCATTGGCAATCTACCATATTTCAGCTTCAGTGCTCTCCGATATCTGTGATAAGGGCATAATGCTAGCAATTTAACTTCTAGAATGATTACTGAAAGGATCACTGAGCCAATGTCTCTGAAATATTCTGATCACTCTAAAGCACATTTGGGGCCACTGCACAGAGATGTAAGTTACAGTGTTATGTTGAAGACTGGTTCAAATGTCTGTTACTTTCCGTACAGAAAAGGATATTCCTTCCTGAATCTACCTGGCTTTGCCAAAGCTGCAATGCCAGTGGTTGTGCAAACCCCACCATGGCTGAGTATGCCATGCTTATGCAGAAAACTTGTTTAATAAACTGTGATTGAGTTAACTGTGGGTAGCCATGTCATGTGAATGTAGCCTGTGTCTGCTGGGATTATGCATGTAGGAGTTCTACATGAGAATAGCTGGATATGAGTTTTAGCTTGGAGGATTAAAAGCAAGGAAGTAGAAGGGAGGCATCATGGTATATGGGAATGACCTTTGGAGACAGGAGGAAGAGCTGCAGACTAAGCAGTGGTCAGACAAGTAGCAGCTGAGTCTGCAGAATGAATGGGGGTGTGGCAAATATCTCAGAAGGGACTTTCCCTAGTTTCTTGGACCGTAAAGGCAAGGGGGGAAAGATGTCCTTTCAGACTTGCAAGATTCTGCTAATGTACCCTTACAGTAAAGTTAGAGCTAGTACTTCTGGGTGTGCTTCTTGGCTGGACCACCTCATAAGGCTGACATCAATCTTGCAGATGGTCAGATCTAATCTAGAACCCTTTTCCCTCTTCTGCTCCTCCCTCACATGGGAGTGGAATCTCCTGGTTCCCAAACTCTTTTGGATTATGGTACATCTCTTTCTTTTCTTCCTGTGTAGGATTTCCTGTTCCCAAATCTGAAGTGATTCATGGGGGAGATCCATGGATTCCAGAGCCTGTTTCACAAGAAAAGGAAATCCCAGTAGATTATGGTTCAGGTAAGATTAAATATCTGAGTGGATTATTGGTGTTAATCTAGATTTCCCACATCAGGAATTCACTAATTGGTGCACCATTGGAAGGACCAGGTTGGGGATAGATTATTATGGAGAAAATCTATAGATGTGGTTGCTAAGAGCTGACACCAACTTGATGGCGCATAACCAGTCCGTTAATCCAGGTTTCCCACATTAAAAGCTCTCTAATTCTGCTCCATCATACCGTTGACAGCTACTACGCTGTAGCATTGGTTTAGAGCAGTGTTTCTCAACCTTGGGAACTTTAAGATGCGTGGACTTCACCCCCCCCCCCCCTCTCCCCCCCCACCCCCCCGCGGGGAGGGTTGTGGGGGGGGGGGGGGACGCCAATTTTTTCCTATGCTCCGCCGAACCGAC